GATGCTCTAAGAGATATGGGTGTAATGACCGATACTGCTGATGAGGCATACGAGTAGTCTGTTTTCTCGTAACCCGTCTTTGGAAGATAGGGTTCATTACGGAATTTGCGGAACCGCCTTGCAGCAATTGTTCACAACTGTGTGATAATCAGTGAATATTCAGGAAGGTTCAAGAAGACGCGTTCAAGAAGAAGGCGGATATTCAGTTTTTTTTAAAAAAAACAAGGTGCGTATGAGAGGTTTGCTTTCATAGATAATTTCTCCCTTTCAGTGTCACTCATTGGGTCATTTCCGGTTTGCGTTGCTTAGACAAATTGATGAATGGAATTTGACCACAATTCGCTTAACTTACACGTGGAGTCTTTACTATCCGGTTTTTTCTGGGTGGAACCTCGTTTGTTGTCCTCCTCAACATCCTAAACTTATTTGAACTGTTTACCAAACCGGGCGTGATTCAACAAATACACTCATTTGCATATTAATTGGGTTTTCGCGGGAGATTCTATCGAATCCATCGTTTACGATATTCGTCAACGGAGTTTGATTCAGCCAACGAATGATCGTGTGGCGTAAAAATCGATAACAGTTAGGCGGGGGGGGTGAGCGGTATTCACTCCGAGGAGTTCAGCGGTTCGGAAGTAGGGCTGTGAGTAATTTTTCCAGTTAACGCAGTGTTCAACCTACTGTTCGAATTTTCTCCATTTTGTTCTAATCATTTTAAACAAGGCTTCAGGCATGCATAAAATTGATTTCCTATAAGCCATCTGCTTAAGCTGATGTCATTCACAGTTCACTAGTGAAATGTGTATCAAAAGAAGTAGGCATAAAATATCTCACGCAGTTTTCCTGGTGTGATTTGTATACTACTGATGAAAGATGCAAGTAGTGCCTGGTCAGGCGTCAAAATGCCGCCTATTCATCTGATGGATGTTGATGTGAAAAACTATCGAATTATTTTTCATTTTTGCTAAGTATTAAAATACTGTGCAGCAAAAAAAATTCAAGAAGACGCCTGAATATGTTGATTCAGTGCAAATGATGCGTTTATTTTCGTGTCTGACAGCCTGTAACCGGCTCGGTCGTGTTAATCCTCATCGAAGGCGTGCTTCCATCCACTGTTAGAGGGCTACAACATTGGCGTTTGCGTAACGGCGTGGGTATTTGTGAAAACTTTGATGAATTTTAAACTAAGGGTTGATGAGAGACGTTTCCGCACCCAGAAGATGCTTCTTCGGAGGTCTAACCTGCTAAACTGGTGGGCTATTTTCAGGCGGTCAGTACTGTGCGAAGTCCACGGAGGTTTTGATCAGTATTTGATTGAGAGAGTGGGGAGCTTCAATTAGGCCGTTATTACCAGGTACAAGGTTAGTCGCTGGCCTCCTATGCATGTTGCGTGTTACTTGGTCGCCCTTTTGTTGGGGTTACCAAACCGTAACCAGATTCTATCTAAGTGATGGTCAAAATAGTAACCGAGAGATCGCAGGTTCAAGACTCAATGGGGATGCACACTGCTGATGAATCCCAACAACGATGGAGCAGCTGTGCAGTGCATCTCAGCTGTTCAGCATAGGTCGGCTTCACTGAACGGATGAAACCTTCAGTGAATTGTTGTGGACCACAGTTCTCCTATGCATCTCAGTGTTCAGCATAGGTCGGCTTCACTGAACGGATGAAACCTTCAGTGAATTGTTGTGGACCACAGTTCTCCTAATGCCTTTGTACTACCAAGAACCCTAGTTTGGATAGCCGCCTGATGCAGCCTGATGTGTCTAGTCAAATAAGAAAGCCAATGAACGTCTGAATAAACTGATCTATTGAACACTGACACCTGTGCAGGCGTGTCTTGTGCAGCCGAAACGTAGAAAGCTACGAGCGAGTCAAAAGATGCTACTAAAAATAGAACCCATCCGTCGGGGGACAAGTGAAGAACAACCAATTAAATCTGCCCCAATGAAAACGGTTATTCCATTGGCCATTGTGTAGTCCAGTTATGTTCGCAGCTAGTTCTCCTATTAAAATGGTGTATGCAGACCAGGAGATTTTACCTCGTCCGGATACCTCAGCGGAAAAAAAAACATAGAATACCGAGAAACCACCGCTATCGGGAAACCAAGTGGGACTCCGTTAAAAGCATTGTCTGGAGGGACGTTCCTCTCACAAAGAGACTGGACATTACCGAGCGATGATGGTTTGTGTGCTTTAGTGATCGATTGAGACATACAGGGTGGTCCCTCAAACCAGGTTTTTCAATGGTTAGAGGTCTGACCAATAGTGTCTCTTGGCTCTCCAGGTTGGAGGCTTGGAACATTCGCTCTTTGAAAATAGTAGTGCGCCCGTATTTTCCACCAAAACCCGCTACTTTGCGGTCAGACCTTTGAGTTAAAGGCTTTGGTTGAGGTCCCTAATCGTCCCCCTGTATAGGTCTGAGCACCCTGGGAGTGTCCCAGCCCACACACAACCACCGATAAATCCACCGATTGTTTACTAAACCTCCATGAGACGATGACTTCTCAATCGGTCCCAAACATTTTCCGATTGCTTGAATATATCGTTAAAAGTCTACAACACAGGACTGATTGTTCGAATATAATGAGATGCTTGCCGAACAGTCGGACTTGATAGCAGTTACCTGACTGCGGATTCGAGACTTCTCCGGTGAAATCGACCTACCTCATTCCTCCTGTCATCTGTGGCTGCTGCGCGAGTCCTGACAGTGCTGGGAAGGTCTGCACAGGAAGCGGATCAGTTGAAGATTTGGCAGCTGAGACCAAAGCGGCCGCCAGGGACAGCGTAGCTGTATCTTGTTCGGGATACTTGTTAGAAATAAGTTTCAATCCACTTGCCGCGGCAGGAGAGGAAGTCAAACTGCTAAGCTGATTAAGACTGGACTGTTCAAAAGGGTTGATTTGCACGGGAATCGCACAGCCATCAAGGGGATTGAAGCTGCAGCAGAACATGGAGGGAACGAAGCTAGTTAAATCAAAAAGAATCTATTCAGAGATGTACAATTAGAATCCAACAGTTCACGTTGGCTGGAGCACACGCGACATGTTGTGATTTGTCAGTCACGTGACACGAACAGACTGATTGTTCATGCGCCCCAAAATTCATCAGATGAGTTCTGATCAAAAGTGAAGGAAGTGTGAACTGCCACAACCTTCGACCTTCAACTCATTAGCTAGAATATCGTACACAAAGAAAACAACCGGTAGGCAAGATCATCGATGCGAAATGACTGCCTACAGTTTGAATTCGTAATTCATTCCGGGCAAGTAACTTTTACGAAAGACTCCCAATGTTGCAAACTAGTTTCAAGTGCCCAGAAATTCTGTTCCAAGTACCTCGGTTCTTCATGTTTAGAAAGAACAAGTGCAGTCCATCTTGAAGGTGTGATAAACGTCACGGATTTTTCGAGAAATACACTCATTTGCAAATCAATTTGGTTTTCACGAGAGACTCATCTGAATCCTCGTTTATGATATTTTACAACTGAATGTGCTGCACACAGGCCGCCTCATGATATCGCAGTATATTTTCATAAAGGAAACTACTCATAAGGTTGCTGAAACCTCTTCGACAGCCCACGACCGGTCTCACCTTTCTTGGGGCTAATCAGGTAGGCGCAGATTCAGTTGAGTCTCTCGTGAGGATCAAATTGATTTGCAAATGAGTGTATTTCCCGAAAAACAGTCCAATTTGGGTTCAAGTAGAACATGAAGGTTGACGGAAACTCGGGGACTGTGCCTACCTGATGAGCTCCAAGAAGGGCGAAACCGGTCGTGGGCTGTCGAAGAGTTTTCAGCAACCTTGTGAGTAGTTTCCTTTAGGAAAAAAGTCACAGATTTTTGTTTCGTGAAAATCTGTGTGAAAATCTGGGTAAAACACATAAACATGGGGAAATGCTTTCGGCGTGTTAAGTTTTTCTACACTTTCGAAAGGAATTTCATTGATATTTGTCAAAGTGTGGTGCTGAATCTCACTGCTCGATTATTCTCTAATATAAGCACGAATTTTTTTATGATTGGCGGGTAGGACAGTCCGAGGCAACAGTTGGGCTGATTACGATTGAGACAGACGTTCTCTGCATTCCTGTTCCAGAAATTGCCACGCCGAATAGTAATTCCTTTGTCCACGATCCCAATGTCTCGCGCAGCAAATCACGGTAATTTTGGTTGAATGTCCCTTCAGGGTCAAGCGCGTTGGCAACGGTGTCGCTGAACGATGTTCTACGGCATAGTACCATATCTTCTGTGTAGAAGCACATCGCTGGAGACCAGGACCTGGTGTGGCGTAGCAGCGCTCAACCTCACACACCGAAGTCTACTTTGGTTCGGCTGTCGGGGATTTCGTCACAGCTGACCCCGGGTAAATCTAAGGTGTTTAGTGAACGCGCCACAGTTGGGTAGGGGTTTCTATAACAGTTTGGCCAAAAGTTATTGACCACTGGACGGTAGTCACAACCAAGTCAGAATGAGCTAACTCCTGACGATATTCAACTTAATTCGCCAATATTCCCAAAATTTCGGGATCACAAAACCACTCTCAACATTTGTCGAATGCAGCCTGAGGCGGTTTATCCGGGCAAAAAAGCCTTCTCCCAACCCGTCCCATGCAAAAATAGAAAATCAATACAGCGTGAGTCCAATCCATTAATTTGAGGCAAAATCGGGTAGCTAATCTTTGCTGAAAAACCGAGAATCAGGGTACAATTGCTTTATTGCAAATCATCAGTAGTACGCATCTCACGAAACTCTATTTGGGGGTTTCGAACCCACGACCCCCTGGCTAGTAGTGTGAACGCTTAATTTTTCGATCGTGAGTGGCTGAACACCAGTGTGATTAGTCTTCACTTAGAGAGCATATGGTGCCGTTCATTTTTCAATCACATGATCACGTGACCACGTATAGGCTGGCTTCTCGGCTGATGACTTCTCACATGGACGTTTCATTGATCTTGTGAAATTACTCTCCTTCTGAGCTATCTATAGATTAATGAATTGTCTATCACTCTGGACGAAACAGAAGCATCCGAAATCTGAAGTTTTCCTCTTCAAGGAAGTAATTTACAATGCGCAAAAGTTTATCGTCGAATTTACGATGATCGCATCGAATAAGAAAAGCCGAAATCTGAGGAACGTACATCTTAGGATCTGGCAGTTCTTGCTTGTTGTAATTCATTTCAGCGCACCTGATTTCGGTTTGGTAGCGCCTACTTTCGTATACTACACCGGATACGTTTGCTACGATTAATTGACAGTTTGCCTCTCATTCTGTTGTAACTAAAATACGACTGACTTGTTAGCGTTGTCAACCTGTCAAGTAGCTTTCATTTCAGCAACTGTGACAGTCCCTCATAAAAAAACCGGAGTTGTATTTCACATTTTGCTCAGTTTTATTCATTCATCCTAACACAAAATAGTTGCTAGTGTGTGGCACTGCCTTAGTTCACTCCATTCGAGATGTTGTCTTGAAAAGTTGTGTTCATGTTACGAAACACTTGTTCGTATAAAAATCACAGCGAATTTGGAAAAAAGAGCATTACACATTGAAAAAAGGAAAGAACATATGGAAACTAATCGATATGTGCATGGTTTGTCCACCTGCCTCAGGATATCGATTAAAAAGGTGGTATATTCCGGGTGTCAGACAGTGAAGGATTTACAGGAACCCTAAGTTGGAATAAAGCTGGGGATGTACTTGGAATCACCGTAACAAGTGAACATAGCCCTATTCAGAGAGGTTGTGGTGTACATGGTTATCACAAAGTTGACGAGGACAGTGGGTGACGATATCCGGCTGCATCAATGAACACGGACTTGAGTAACTTTGCAGGACCGAAACAAAATCGATTTGAATACACAATCCGACATTTTTGGTAGACTATTCATGCAATTACTGATTCCGACAAGTCATCTGGCCTTTCCAGAGGAAAAAACAAGCGCCACAGTGGGTGTGCATTCCGCGCGGCGGAGCAAATTTTGTGTAAAAGGAAACTGACAGACGAAATTGAGAACTATGAGATTTTGTGGCGAATTGGATTTTTTGGTAAAAATGTACCGCACTGTGTTGGGGTGTGCATTCCGCGCGGCGGAGCGAATTTTGTGTAAAGGGAAACTGACAGACGAAATTGCGAACCATGAGATTTTGTGGCGAATTGGATTTTTTTGGTAAAAATGTACCGCACTGTGTTCTGTCAATCAAGGAATGCAAGACGAGGCCGAATCAAGGAAATCCAGACAAATAGGTGGGTGACACGAAACGACTCGTTGACCGTGATGCGCTTTAATCTCTTAGTATGACCGCTGTCTGATCCTTCGGCCTCGCGGGTACTATTTCATGATCGCAGTGGTCGCTTTCAAGGACAAACTCTTCCTGAACGAGATCATCTCTCTAGGGAGACAGAAACGGCGTGTTCTGTCAGTTGTGGTCATCTACGAAGGGAGGGTGTTGCTCTCAGAAAGGTTAACTCCACCTGTGTTGTACATGCTGATCTTCCACGGTTCACTTAGCTTCCCACCGGCGCGGGGAACACGACTCAAAATGCTTGGTTAGCAGAACTTGGGAAATGGAGTTTTAATGGCATTCATAATAAATGTTTGGAAAGATATATGGATGCCATCATGTGATCTTGCCTTGATAATACGGTGAAATTTGGTTTTGATTGTGATCCAATCCAAAGAGTTTGTCCGCTGTTGGATGCCATTCATGAGCTGAATGTTCATATACTTGAAGGGATAATCAGATGTCGTTTTTGAAAGTAACCACCCCGGAACGTCTGAAACTTAGTGATCACCGCCAACATCCTCAGCGGAGTTTACGGGTTATCGACTCTTAATCAGCGACGACTGATGATGTTCGAAAGCTCAAGCTTGGCCCCGCAAGCAATGCCAATCAGTCACGCAATACTGGCCGGGAAGCCTAGTTTCAACCGCGAAAATGCGCTTTGAATACTTCAACGCTCTCAGTAGTTTTCCACCCGATCGTCCGCAACCAAGTTTTTGCACACCTTTGATTTTCCTCACCCGGTATAAGTGGATCGCCGATGCACTGCGACACGCGGAAACCACATGTGAACCTGTAGACCAGGCCAAAAGCATCCAGCAGGAGTGTTCACTTCTACTGGATGTCTGTCGCAGGATTTTGGATTTTGTTTCACTCAAGAAGGGCTTTCCTCTAGCTGATAGAGAGGTTGTACGTCCTGGGTTCTTCCACGGTGATAAATCCTATCCTTCGGAACCCACACGTTCACCAAAGTCTGAGAACAGGCAATTTACACTCACCCAATTCAACTGCGACACGTGTCTCACGATCACATTTCTACGTCCATCTTTTTTGTTTCTTGCCATAATATATCTACCCCTCCTGTTTTGAATTCACCGAGAGTCTCATGGGATACCCAGTATTCTCCCCAACCTCATTTATCTGAGGCTATTTTGACCTCTATCCTTAGTTCAAAATTCGAATTCGTCAGCCTGTCGCTTCTTCTAAGATGGCTTGATATATGGCTGATATCACCTTTTTATAGTAGATAGTCTGTGATTATGACCCAGTGAACTCTGTATCGTGATTTATTCTGCCCAGTTCCTGCTATTCCTCTAGTTTCCGGGTGCATGAAACTTCCTTCACACAGACCTCGTTCGAACTGTCAACACTCAAAACTCCATGGGATCAATCAAGTTTAGTGAACCCTGAAAACGTGAGGATCATGATTCGATTGTTTGATTGTATTCGGCCTTGTTCAGTGGCGTTCACTATCTGTCGACATTCTATGTGATTTACGGAACAACACCCTTTTTATTGAAGGCACGTTCAGATTTAGGTTAGTTGTGGACCATGGTCCATTGGTGCCTTTTCATTACCATGAACTCCGGTCTTGATAGCCGCTTGATCGCCGGGTGCGCTTGGCCAAACCAGAAAAAGTCAATGAATGTGCGAACCGACTGATTTAGTGATCACTGTCGCGTACAAGCTTGTCAAAAAAAAAGTGACACTAAGAATACAACTCATCTGTCAAGGGCGAGTGAAGAACAACCAGTGAAATCTGTGTCAACGGAAATGGCTATTCGATTGGCAGTAATGTAGTCCCGTTTCGTTCGGAGCCAGTTCTCCTAATAAGGTTTTTGCCAGCACAACAGGGGAAGTTTTTGGAAAACCAACAATCGATTAGTGTGTTTCGTCAGTGACTAGCCTGACATTTGAAAAGACCAATCCGGTGTCTGGAAAACCTTCCAATCACATTTTGATGAATATGTCTGTGAGCTAGATCTCGCAACTACATTATTATTTATTATTATTGATAGTATTATTACCGTTACTTATCTAGTGGTATCATAGTTCAGTATCATTCTGCGTCCCATCGCTTGCATGCACGCACGCACATACACACGCACGCACGCACGTACACACGATGCCCACACGCATGCACGCACGTACACATGCATGCACGCGCTCACACCCAAACCCACACCCACACACAATACACGCTCAAAAGCAACGGAGTATTTTCTCGGTCACCTTGACAAAATTTTCGAGAGACGGTGTTTGGTATGGCGCAACTTTGCGCAGACAAATTATGCATAATTCAACAGACCAGTTAACTTGTGGTAATAATTCTAACTTTGGAAAGACCAGCAAGCCAGAAAACACTGCGCCAATTGTTATCCCCATCTCTCATTCATGTGTGTTGCTTGAATTCATCTTTCCTAATTGATGCGTCTTAATTGGGCAGGTCGCCCTGTCAGTAACAGATGACGGACAGGTTAGCTTTGTAGCTCTGTGATGCGTCTGGCCAGACCCGGCAACAGACACAAGGTCGGCTGTTTTCCAAGTAAGGACGATGGGAACAGCATGCGGTAATCCGTTGAATTGGATAAAATCCCACTCACTGCAGATGCGGACCAATAATTGTTCGCAAATTTTGTTCACTTTGTAAATTTCGTGTCCCATTATCCAAACTGTTGGTTTGGATTTCAAAGGTCGACTGTTATTACTGGCTAGGAAGAACGAATGTCTTTTGAATATCTGTTGAACAATCCAGGAAGACTTTGGAGGGTATTAAAGGAGCCAAGAACCAAGGGAAGACTGCTTACCGTAGACGATGTGTTGCCGAACTGTGCACCGGACCACCGACTCTCTTCATCGACTTCCCGATTGGTGTGTTCGGTATGGATGAGACTTGTGAAGTTGCATTTGAGGATGTTGTCATCTGATGGTTGGCGTTCAGTATTTCCAGGATATCTGCGTTCGGATCCCTGTACAAGATGGTGTTGGTGAGCGTGGTCGGATTTAGAGCGAAACCGCCGAGAGCAAGCTTATTCAAATCAAACAAGTTGGGTAATAACGCCGTCAGGGCATCGGGATATGCCACAGTCGATGAGGGTGTTGTCGGGCCGGACGTTTTCACGGTTGTGGGGAGGTTGGCAAACTTGACCACCAACGGGGCATCACTCGAACCGTTGATTCGATAACCATTGAATCGTTGTATGGCCAATTCTGCCTCATGTCGCTGATCAAAACGGATGAATCCAACTCCTTTTGATTGATCTGTGGAATAAAAAGGAAACTTGTGACTGTCAGAACAACTTTTGCGTGAGGTTTGAGCAAAAATCGAATTTACGGTTCTGTTATTTTCGAAGCGGTTCAGGTGGGATAACACTGGAGACTTTACGACACCATAAACTACGTTTGGTTCCGCTGTAAATCACTTGCTTTCGCGTTCTCTGTAGGTCGCCACTTATGTTTATCGTGCATGCACACACGGTTGGGTGCGGGAAACGCGGGGATATTTGTCATTGGCGAGGCAAACAATTTTACTGTGCTCGGTGAACACAGCACAGTCCCATAAAATATGTTTGAAAATATTGTTTTGTCCCACTTTTTCGATCCATTGGGTTTTGTTTTTTTGTTGTTGAAAATAACAGGATATAAAACGGGAGTGTGCAAAGAGTGGATAAAAAATGTGTACAAACATTGGGATGTCATGTCGTTCTTGATGACATTAATTCTAGATTCGATCCTTTTGGAATTTCTTGTTTGTTTTGGAAGGGGTGGGGTGTGACACACACCTCATGTTACCAGGTAGAAAACTTGAACGGGAAAGTACATGGTTGCTTAAAGCATGTTTTCGCTCACCTGTAAATAGCAGGTTTTACCGATTGTCATGGCAGAGGGTCCTGGCTATTCAAGATCAACAACGTACGCACAGTTTGTGGTAAAGTTTACTGGCTGATGCAAACGGAACTGAGCCCTATTCGTAGCCTATAAATCAGTCTGATAATTTCGTCTGCCAGTTTCAAAGTCAGGAGAATCGCCCTTCTGATCGTTAGAGTACATCTCTCTCTCCCTCTAAGTGCCTAGTCCGTTGAGACACTGTGTACGACGTTTCCTCAGCTTTGTTGCTCGTGTGCACAGAAACCGTCAGTTCAGCTGTAGCACCGTTTCGGTGCCTAAATGCCACACCATCAGAAGGAATCTCGAGGGCTTGTATAGTGCCAGGTTGCTCAAGCCTAGACAGGGGAAGTGGAGGAACAGGGATCCTGGGGTTCAAACCGCGGACCTTCCGGTCAGTAAATTCGCGCTCCAACCACCGAGCCATCTCGCACTCCAACTGTACATAAAACAGACATGGTTGAGATGCCCACGAAATTGTTTTGTATATTTAATCCAGCCACCCTCGAACATGAGAACCAGTTGTTCAGATTGTACACAGTTGTGTCAGAATCATATTCAACTTCAGTGTGGCTATAAGTACATCCCCCATAGTCTGCTTTGTTGTCTTACTGTCGGTTATTTTACTCGCTAGTTCGGTTTATGAAAATGACTTCAACGGCTCTCAAGGAAAGATTTACGACAGGTCTTTGGCAGAGGTTGTGAACACTGGATTTTGAAGTTAGTTCTAGTCTGAACGGCTCAGGTCGCGGTAATATCACTTCACTACATAACTGATGACCTGACCACGAGTTTTTTGTCTGGGGATAGCCCCTCTAATTAATCGAGCATAACGTTGATTGGAAGGATGTGTCGCGATCCGGTTACTCAGTGAATGAAGCCATTCCCATATCGGGCAGAATATCAGCCAATCAGGATCGAGCATTGATAGCTCAGCGTTTCTCGCCTCTGCACGAAGATCCTAGCAGAATCTTGTGAAACATCCCGTGATAAACCGGTAAAGGCAGTCACAACATAGTTTCTTTGTCTCCATAGAAGACCGACAGAGGGGTTGCACCACCATCTGCCATACGCAGCATTTCTGACCCTGGTACCAACGTAGAATGTGTCGGCGACATCGGAAGATAGCGACTTCTCCGCCACGCGAACCAAACATGGAAACGGACCGCGAGATGACGACGGAAACCCAAAATCCAAAGCAGAAACCTACGCAGGTTTAACGAGTTTGCCAAAACGTATGGAGTGGCCCGGTTTATTCAGATACAGGTGTCTTGCCTCTGGAAACAGGACGCCATTTTCTACAATGCATACAACGGACCTCTTTATCTGATAAAAAAAGGAGAGCTGTTCGAACGGGAGTGATGTGAATTGCGGCAGCGAAGCATCGGTGTTCAGCACTGATGTCATGCTGTCGATGATTATAGTGGTAGAAATTATGATGAAATGATGATGAAGATGAAGAGGATAATGATGACGATGATGATGAAGAAGATAATGAAGATGATGATGACGATGATGATGATCATGACGATGATGATAATGATGGTAATGATATGAATGCGAACTTTTTTCGAGCTTATAACTTACCAAATGCTGTCCAGCTGGTCTCAACCGTTCGTGGAGCTACCTGGCTAAGAAGCGCTGCCAGAGTGACCAATCGATAGAAAAAACCAGGACAGCTAGCGGATCGTCGTTTGAGGCGTCCGGCAAATTAATCACACCGATCAAGCTTCAACACGTTCGCTTGCTGGATCATGAAAATCAAGATGTGTTAAGCGTGGGCTGGTCAAGTGGTGATCACACGTTGCCTCACATGTTGAACGTCCGGAGTTCGAACCCCAGCACGGCCAAGGATATGCACCACCAATAGATTCCAATAAGAGCGAAACTCGAGTCTAATGCCTTCCTCTTTGGTATTAACTAACTAACGAGAATAATTGCTCCAGGACAGGAAGAGAACTGCTCAGAGATGTGAACGAGAATTCCACAAATTCCATTGCCACCTGAAACTTATTCATTCGCCATCGACTGATGACCACTAAATATTCACGTGAATCCGCCTTATCCTAAGACGTGGCGTAGCGCACATATTTGGTCCAGCGACAATCACACGGGATACGAACAAAATCCGTGCATGCCATTATAAATCCTTTGGGAAAACAAACTGGGATTTTAGACGTGTTTCCTGTGATTTCGAGACACTGTTTGAGTTGATCAACTAGAAGATTTGTTGATGTTGAGTGGAAACTCCAATTTAGCTGATTGCTACTTCTCATCAGACCGATTGAAACTGCCTAACGAACAGTGGGAAACACACTCGAATGTACTCGAAATGTGGGTTGTGAATGGCAGCATCGGTGATGATCAAATCCTGTACAATACAAAATCTGACAATGGCGATGCTACTCACAACTTTGGTGAAAAGTCATCGACATGAAAATACACTGCGGATCTTTTCCAGATAAGCCCCGCCAAAAAACTAACCCCCGTCACCCAAAAAGGAGGATATGAAATTTGTAGTTTCAGCTTCTATTGGAGAGGGTGAAATTGGGACATGTCATTATTAAGTTGCATGAAAAAGTCTGCTTTTCGGTACCTTCGCCTCCAAACAAACTCACACAAGTAGCTGTTCACTAAAGATCGGTGTGTGCCACATTGGCGTTTATTCTGTATCTTGTAGACGTGCCAAGGAGATTCAATAGTATGTGTGTGAGCTCCAGTCGTTGGATGCACAAAGTTTTTGGTATGATTAACCGTTTCATGAGTATAATTCATGTCAATAATCGTTTCAACTACTTGATATGATACCCACATATCGGAGATGATCATTGAGCCGGGAGCGATATAGGCCTGGATTTTGTCCATCAAAGTGGCGGCAGTTCGATCTGGCACTGCATACATGAACACCTCTTTATGGGCGTTTCATCGATCTCGACATGTAGACCTGGGCCGCCGATAACTGTCGTAGTCTGCATAAGCCGCCAGGCGCAAACTTCGCGAAGAAAGTTCTTCCAGTCAACAGCGGTCGTGTGGCTAATAGATGATTCCTTTGAACAGAATTTGATTTTTGACAAATTTTTGGACCAGCAATAAATGAATAAAATTACTGTCCTAAACCTTAATCTTAGATCGCTCCAGCCAAGTCCCCTTTCGAAGACCGATTTCTTGCCGACGATGTCGGGCGTTACACTTCCACCTGTCAGAAACAGTTAAAAGTGTCATTTGGTGGCCATTGTTGCGTAAACGCTGCTGATGGATCACTCCGTGGCTTTGAAAAAGCATATTACCGTCTCCTCGTCATGAACGAGAGTTGAAAGCGTCAGAAAGTTCATTTAAGGTTTTACTTTCGAACGGAGAAAAGTTTTGCACAAATTGAGCCTAGATGCGGATAAGGAATAGTTTTCATCAAAAATATGTCAAGGTTGTGTGCGTACCTTAAATTGGAGCTGGCAAGAAGTGGCGGGGCTTAACTTTTCGCACATGCAGTTTTTGCATTAGTGGCAGGGCTTATCTTGCAACTTCAACCATCAATCCATCTCTAAAATCCACTACGCTTCCTAACAACGCATTGATGCTGTCACCTCGGTTGGTGACGAAACGTTTGCAATCAAATTGCCCAGGTTGCCGAACAAACCGACGGCCATGCCGTGGCTTGAGCAACACCTTCAGTTGACCAAGAACATTATAAACGACAGATTCAGCTGGATTCCAGGTGAGTCTGCCTTCAGAAAATGCAAATGAGTGCATTTGGCAGAGGATGGCAAGTTCTCAGGCTTGACAGTTGACTTTCAGCGAGAAGGGACTGAATTGCATTACGCAGACCGGAACAGCTATGCAGTTGGCGTTCTTTGTGTGTAGCCGTCACTTAGACAGATCAGCGACCGTCGCTGTGCAACTGAAGAATGTTTGATCGTGTGCAAGGCGGAACCTCTCATTTGGTTTGTCTGTTGACCACTCTAGCGAGCCTGATTGACCTTGAACTCATGACCGACATCTTCGGCTCATGATTTACACGATCGACTGCATCTAATGGGCTGGCTACACTCCAAAAGAAATCGAAGGCCGACTTGGTTATTTGGAATCAAATTCTCTTTGTTTTCGACAAATACTCTCTCATTTGCACACGAATTTGTTGTTGACAGGAGACAATCAACCGAATCAAGCTGAATCGCTCGTCTATGAAGCGGATCGCCATAAACCAGAGAATCAGCTGCGATTCAGTTGATTCTTTTGTCAAAACCAAACTCGTATGCAAATTTTGAGGAGATTAAAGTAAGAGAGTCTTCCACTGTCGGGACTGGATGAAATTCTGTTCTTTGGGGTGGGGCGTTCCAAGCAGCCAAATAAGTCCATGCGCTGAGATTTACGATTCGTTT